CGAACCGTAGGATGAAGGAGCGTTCAACAGTGTCGCCCTTCCACGCCACCTCCTCTGGGCCGATGTTGGCGTCGGCGAGCCAGCCGCGCGTCGCCTCCTCCAGCGCCGCGCGCGCCACTGCCGCTTTGGTGACCAAGCGCAGGATGGTCTCATCCCTCGGGCGGTCCTACGCCGCGGAGAAGAGGGGGCCGCAGCGGCCGCTCCGTGCGCGTGAGGCCCAGCTCGTGCTCGAGGCGTTCCAGCCTCTGCCTTGTCTCAGCCTGCGACGTGTTGAGCTGCTCTTGGATGCCGCCACGCGCATGTCCAGCTCGTGGCGGGTCCTCGCCGTCGACTCGGTGAACGACTTCATACCCGTTTGCACCACGCTCGTGCAGAGCGTGTTGGGCCCAGGCAAGAGCTACGTCTGCATCGCCTTGAACGCCTTCTGCATGCCCGCCTCGACCACGGCGTGCTGCGCAACCATAGCCGCGCGCACCGCACTGACACTTGGCGCACGGTCGCCTGTCGCAGCGAGCTCGTCGATGTGCACGCGGAGCTGGTCGGCAGGGGTCGGCCCGCTGGGGCGCTCTCCAGCAGCGGCCGCCGGGCCACCGCTTCCGTTCGGCGGCATGGGCGCGGTGGCGCCACCAAGGCATTGCGCCATCCTTGCCGGGGGCACACCGGCTGCGGCGGGGCGCCCGCGCGATCGGCCCGCCCAGGGGTCCGTTACCGCCAGGGGGTCCGGAGAACCATCCCTGCCCGCAGCAGTGCCGCCAGCACCACCGCGATCTTCAGCAGAGCGGCTCCGCCTGTCGACACCGTCCTTGTCGCCAGCGGCGCCCGCCGTGCGTCCCGCCCGGATCGGCGCGGTACATCCTGGGGTATCGTGCCCGCCAGCCGCGCGCCGCGCTCGTCCAGGGAGTGGGTTTCAAACGTTTTTTGAGCCGCCTCCGCCTTGAGCCAAAATGGCTTGAGCCAAAATGGCTACGAATCTCCTCCTCCTCCAACTGCTGTTCCTCCTCCTCCTCCTCCTCCTTTTCCCTTGCTCCACATCTCCAGGTCTATGTATCTGCGGTCTTGGAAAGTGGACGGTGGCTCAAGGATCTCGTGCCAAGAGCGGTGGCGCTGAGTGCGACTTTGGCCTCGCACTTCGCCTCTTCCTCAACTGCACGTCTGCGAGGATGCGCTCCCGACGTGGACGAGGAGAGGAGGCGAGGCTGCACCCCCTTGCCACGACCAAGGAGGTAGAGTGCAACCGTAACCTTGTAATCCACCGCCCCTTTCTCCTCCTCCTCCTGCTGCTGCTGCTGCTGCTGCTGCTGCTGCTCCTCCTGCCCCTGTCTTCCCCTCCCCTCCTGCTGCTCCTTTCTCCTTCTCCTCTCCTCCTCCTTCTCCTCCTCCTCCTCCTCCTGCTGCTCCTCCTGACCCCTGGCCCGCTCTCACAACTCGCCTCATCGGCGCACCTGGCTCGTGGGACTCGAGCACTGAAGGAACGCCCAGATGTGCACCCCGAGCCGCGCGCAGCACTGGCTGCACACTCCTCCATACAGCTCCTCCACCTCCTCCTTCTCCACGTTGTCACCGTCTTCGTCCTTCCCCCCTGCTCTCACTCATCCTGCTCCTTCCTGCCGCTGCTCCTCTTCTTCTTCCTCCTCCTCCTCCTCCTCCTCCTCCTCTTCCTCCTCCTCCTGCTCCTACTCCTCCTGCTCCTGCTGCTGCTGCTGCTGCTGCTGCTGCTGCTGCGATTCCCCCTTGCTTCAAGCAGTCACACCTGCCACCCTGCGCTCCTGGACTTGGACTTGGACGCTGTGCGGATGCTCCGAGGGTGCACGCAGTGGCGGGCAGGAGCGCTACGGTGTCCCCACGCGAACGAAGGATTGCAAAAAAACCTAGGATTGCAAAAAAAACCCGTTGCAATGAAGGATTGCAAAAAAAACCTTCGTAGGGTTTTTTTGCAATCCTTCGTGCAATGAAGGGTTTTTTTGCAATCCTTCGTTGCAATCCTTCTTCCTACCGTTATCCTCCACACTTTTTCTCCTCCCCCCATAGGGGAACGAACAATGACATTACGCTACCGAGGAACCCCACATACTTATATTTATGGCTGGAGTGATGATAGCTGAAGTGAAGCATGGGAGAATGATGTTGCTGGCCGTTCCCTGCGCACCCCCTATGGTGTCGAGAAAATGCCACGCCTGCCACGCCCTGGACGCCCGGCTCGGATAGCGGCCGCGCTGAGAGACCACCACCTGCGGACCCCCTAAGGTTACGAGAATATGCCACGCCTGCTCCGCCAGCGTACCCCTGTGCCCTGAGCACGACCGGCACGGTTAGCAAACTTGCGTACCGATGTGCCCTGAACACGACCGTCACGGATAGAGGCCGCGCTCAAGGACCACCCCGTGCGCACCCCCTGTGGTGTCGAGAATATGCCATGCCTGCTATGCCCTGGACGACCGTCACGGACAGCAACGCCCTGGACGACCGGCACGGATAGCGACCGCGCTCAGGGACCACCCCCTGCGCACCCCTTATGGTGTCGGGAAAGTGCCGCTCCTGCTATGCCCTGGACGACCGGCACGGATAGCGGCCGCGCTCAGGGGACACCCCCTGCGCACCCCCTGTGGTGTCGGGAAAGTGCCACTCCTGCTATGCCCTGGACGACTAGCACGGATAGCGGCCGCACTCAGGGACCACCCCCTGCGTACCCCTTATGGTGTCGGGGGAATGCCACTCCTGCTATGCCCTGGACGACCAGCACGGATAGCGGCCGCGCTCAGGGACCACCCCCTGCGCACCCCCTCTGGTGTCGGGAAACAGCCGCGCCTGCTATGCCCTGCGCCATGACCCGCATAGACGCCGCGCTGAGGGACCACCCCCCGCGCACCCCCTCTGGTGGCGACAAAGTGCCACGCCTGCAACGCTTTCCGACCTTGGCACGCATAGCGGCCGCCCTCAGGGACCACCCCCTGCGCACCCCCTGGGGTGTCGACAAAACCCCACGCCTGCCACACTTTCCGACCCTGGCACGCATAGCGGCCGCCCTCAGGGACCACCCCCTGCGCACCCCCTGGGGTGTCGACAAAACCCCACGCCTGCCACACTTTCCGATCCTGGCACGCATAGCGGCCGCCCTCAGGGACCACCCCCTGCGCACCCCCTATGGTGGCGACAAAGTGCCACGCCTACCACGCTTTCCGACCCTGGCACGCATAGCGTCCGCCCTTAGGGACCACCTCCTGCGTACCCCCTATAGCGTCGAGAAAACCCCACGCCTGCTGTGCCCTGGAAGACCGTCGTGCTGTGCTGTGCTGTGCTGTGCAGTGCTGTGCTGAGCTGTGCTGAGGTGATATGCTGTGCCATGCTGTGCTGTGCTGAGCTGTGCTGCGCTGTGTGAGAAGGAGAAGGAGGAGGGGGGGTGAGGGTCGCGGGTGCGACGCGGCAAGGATGAAAACCAGAACCCCACGAAACATGTGGGGAATTACGCTACCGAGGAACCCCATATACGTATATTATGGCCGGAGTGATGATAGCTGAAGTGAAGCATGTGAGAATGATGTTGCTGGCCGTTCCCTGCGCACCCCCTATGGTGTCGAGAAATGCCACGCCTGCTACGCCCTGGACGCCCGGCTCGGATAGCGGCCGCGCTGAGAGACCACCACCTGCGGACCCCCTAAGGTTACGAGAATATGCCACGCCTGCTACGCGGATGGGCGGAATGGGAGGGGAATGGGAGGGTGGGAAGGAGGATCGGGGCGACAGAAACCAGGAAAGGGAGGAGGAACGAGGGCGAAAAAGACAGGGCGGAGAGGAAAAGGAGGGACGGAAGGAAGGAGAGAGGATTCCGTGGCGCACCCCTCTGGTGTCGAGAAAATGTTACGCTTGCCGCGCTTTCCGACCCTGGCACGCAAAGGGGCCGCTCTGAGGGACCACCCTCTGCACACCCCCTCTGGTGTCGAGAAAATGCAACGCCTGCCACGCTGTCCGACGCTGGCACGCACAGAGGCTGCTCTGAGCCACCACCCGCGCACCCCCTCTGGTGGCGACAAAGTGCCACGCCTGCCACGCTTTCCGACCCTGGCACGCATAGGGGACGCGCTGAGGGACCACCCCCTGCGCACCCCCTCTGGCGTCGAGAAAGTGTCACACGTGCCACACTTTCCGACCCTGGCACGCATAGAGACCGCGCGCTGAAGAGACCACTCTTTGCGCACCCCCTCTGGCGCAGAGAAACTGCAACGCCCGCCACGCTTTCCGACCCTGGCACGCATAGAGGCCGCGCTGAGGGACCACTTCCCGCGCACCCCCCCTGGTGGCGACAAAGTGCCACGCCTGCCACGCTTTCCGGTCCTGGCACGCATAGCGGCCGCCCTCTGGGACCACCCCCTGCGCACCCCCTCTGGTGTCGACAAAACCCCACGCCTGCTGTGCCCTGGACGACCGTCGTGCTATCCTGTTCTGTGCTGTGCTGTGCTGAGCTGTGCTGCGCTGAGCTGTGCTGTGCTGTGCAGTGCTGTGCTCTGCTGTGCTGAGCTGAGCTGTGCTGGGCTAAGCTGTGCTGTGCTGTGCTGAGCTGTGCTGTGCTGTGTGAGAAGGAGAAGGAGGAGGAGGTGATGTGAGGGTCGCGGGTGCGACGCGGCAGGGATAAAAACCATAACCCCACGAAACATGTGGGGAACAAACATAACAACTCGGAGGTCAGCGCGGATTTCTCGGATCGGCGCTGGACCCCCCTCCCTGGCGCGCGGAACGCGCCAGGGGCGGCGCCGGGGGAGCCGCCAAGGGGGTCCAACGCGGATCTGAGAAATCCGCGTGGACCTCAGAGTTTTTATGTTTCCGTCATCGGTCGTTCCCCTATCCCAATTCGAGCATCTTCCGACGTTCGGGAGAACAAACTACCTAGGATTGAGACTAACGCGACGGGTGAATACGAGTAGTATGCTTGACTGGCCACCGTTGGGACGAGTGTCATCGCGGACCATCATTGCTGCACACAGGCATGCGGGGGTGCACGCAGCGTCCTGCACCAGCATCCTCACCTCGAAATCGATGTGCACCACTCCAGGGGGTGGAGTGACGCTTGCCCAGACGCCATGGATACTCTTCTTTCGCCTGACAGCGCCAGTGCAAACAGAAACACCGACTTCGCGGCGTGTTGCGACTAGGGACAGAAATACGCTGCGAGTCAAAGGCAGGGTGCTCGGCCTTCTGCCACATGACACAGCCTGGCAAATACCAATTCGTTGATGATACGTCCTCGACACAACCATCATCGCCACACATGAAGGTGTCATCGAATGGGCAAGAATGCGCTGCACTGCGGCAAGAAACCGTTACACCATTGGTGGAATAATGATGCAAAAAGCTGTACATCGAACGAGGAACACGCAGGGAGCACTACAGAGCGTGAGTGGCAATATGGGGAGCACCCCAGAAAATTCGCAAACAACCAGACCACAAAGAAGACCATACGGGACACCACTTGGTTGTATACTCATTTCTAAACAATAAGTGTAAATCTCCGAAAACGGTTCTGCGCGCTCTCGCCTCGACGCCGGCTACAAATTCTTTGAAAACGAGGCTCCCGCTCGAGCGTTGGCTTGAGTTTAAATGTGGGCCCTTGGAGGCCCAGCTACGACAACAACGGCTCCCGCTCGATAATCCTCACAGTTCACCCCGAGACGCCCTGGCCAGAGAGGCCCCCGAACTCAGGAACGGCGCTCTCGCTCGAGACTTCCTCGCAATTCAATCAGGTTGGCGGAGGCCCAACCACGACGGCAAGGGCTCCTGCTCGATACATCCTCACGGTTTACTCCGAGAGCCTCTGGCCAAGAAGGCTCCCGAACTCAGGAACGGCGCTCTCGCTCGAGACTGTCCCGTAATTCGAAAAAATTGGTGGAGGCCCGGACACGGCGACAAGGGCTCCCGTTCGATTTTTCTCCATAAGTATTCCGAGAGCCCCTGGCCAGAGATGCTTCCGAACTCAGGAACGGCGCCCTCACTCGAGACACGACGGCAAGGGCTCCTGCTCGATACATCCTCACGATTTACTCCGGGAGCCTCTGGCCAAGAAGGCTCCCAGACTCAGGAACGGCGCTCTCGCTCGAGATTTTCCCGTAATTCAAGAAAATTGGTGGATGCCCGCACACGGCGACAAGGGCTCCCGTTCGATCTTTCTCCATAAATATTCCGGGAGCCCCTGGCCAGAGAGGCCCCCGAACTCAAGAACGGCGCTGTCGCTCGAGAATTCCTCGCGCTTCAGTCAATGGCCGACAAGGAATAGATTCTCCCCGGAAGGGGGTGCAATCGAAGACGAAGTGGGCGGGTATCGAGGGTTGGGGTTTACGGAATGCAAGACACGCGTGCCAGTAAGAACGAACAGCCTGAAACTGATTTTTGCTGTTGTTGCTGTTGTTGAATACTCGTTTCCGAAATATGATTATTGTTGGTCTCCGGAAACAATTCCGCGCGCTCTCGCCTCGACGCCGGCTACATTATCTCTGAAAGCGAGGCTCCCGCGCGAGCGTTAGCTTGAGTGTAGAAGCGGGCCCTTGGAGGCCCAGCTGCAACGACAACGGCTCCCGCTCGATACCTCTTACAGTTCACCCCGAGACGCCCTGGCCAGAGAGGCCCCCGAACTTAGGAACGACGCTATCGCTCGAGACTTCCTCGCAATTCAATCAAGTTGGCGGAGGCCCAGCCACGACGACAAGGGCTCCAGCTCGATACTTCCTCTCGATTTGCTCCGAGAGCCCCTGGCCAGGAAAGCCCCCGAACTCAAGAGTGGCGCTCTCGCTCGAGATTTTCCTGTAATTCGGGCAAATTGGTGGAGGCCCACACACGGCGACAAGGGTTCCCGTCCGATATTTCTAAATTTATGTTGAAAGCCCCTGGCCTGGCCAGAGAGGCCCCCGAACTCAGGAACGGCGCTCTCGCTCGGTATTTCCTTGCGCTTCAGTCAGTGGCCGACGAGGAAGAGGTTCCCCCCGAAAGAGGGTGCGATCGAAGACGAAGCGGGCGGTTATCGAAGATAGGGGTATACAGAATGCAAACCACGCGTGCGAGTAATAACGAACAGTCTTAACATGATTGTTGCTGCTGTTGTTGCTGTTGTGATTGTGGTTGTGGTTGTGGTTGTGGTTGTGGTTGTGGTTGTGGTTGTTGTTGTTGTTGTTGTTGTTGTTGTTGTTGTTGTTGTTGTTGTTGTTGTTTGTTGATGTTGCGGTTGCTGTTGTTGTTGCTGTTGTTGCTGTTGTTGGTGTTGTTGGTGTTGGTGTTGTTGTTGGTGTTGTTGAGCTCTCACTACTGAATAATTATTGTTGACCCCCCTCTGGTAAACATTATGTTTTTCAATTGGTATGCTCCCCCCCCGGGCTCGCACCCGGTTTTGTTTTCATAGAACAAATCACGAAACTCAAACTGTATTGCTGGCCCCCGACTTACAACAACAACGGCTCCCGCCTGATACTTCTTCACAATTTAGCCAGGACCCCCGCTCCCGCCTGAGATTTCCTCGCATTTTACTCAGGGATCGCGCTCTCGCTTGGGACTGCCTTGCAATTTATTAAGGAATCGCTCTCTCGGTGGTCTGGAATCGCGCTCCCGCTGGAGATTTGCTTGCAATTTACTCCAGGATCGCGCGATTGCGTGGACATCCCCAGCAGCTTACTCAAGCGCCGCGCTCCCGACACTCAGGCACCCAAGAGTCGCGCTGACGATTAGGACTTCCTGACAGTTTACTTAGGAATCGGGATCTCGCTGCCCTTGTGGCCCCGTCGCAACCCTTCGTGGCCCCTCGCTGCCCTTCGTGGACCACTTGCAGCCCTTCGCGGCCCCCTCGCTGCCGTTCGTGAGCCAGTTGCAGCCCTTCGTGGCCCCTTCGCTGCCCTGCGTGGCCCCGCAGCAGCCCTTCGTGGCTCCGTTGCAGCCCTTCGTGGCCCCCTTGCTGCAGTGCGTGGCCCCGCAGCAACCCTTCGTGGCCCCCTTGCTGCCCTGCGTGGCCCCGTTGCAACCCTTCGTGGCCTCCTCGCTGCCCTTCGTGGCCCCTTCCTTGCCCTCTGCGGCCCAATGCGGTGAGGGCATTGGAGAAGGAACCGTTGGATAAGTTATCCAGGGGCTGGAAGCTGGTGTAACTCCAATCGTGGATTGGCCATGGATATCACCGCCGCACTTATCAGATAAGGAATCCTCCAAGGCCTGAAGCCCCCTGGGCACATTCCTGAACGAACGCTTCCGCCGTATACGTGTGCCCTTCGCGGCCCCCGCTCGTTCGCGCTCGTCGTGGCCCCATACGCATGCCCTTCGTGGCCCCGCCGTCGCCCTTCGTGGCCCCCTCGCTGTCCTGCGTGGCCCCGTTACTACCCTCAGTGGCCCCGTCGTTGCCCTTTGTGGCCCCGCATTATCTGCCCTTCGTGGCCCCCGCTCGTTCGCGCCCTTCGTGGCCCCGTAAACATGCCCTTCGTGGCCCCGCTGTCGCCCTTCGTGGCCCCTTTCCTGCCCGTCGTTTCGTGGCCCTGCTGTCGCTCTCGCTGTCGCTGTCGCTCTCGCTGTCGCTCTCGCTTTCGCTCGTCGTCATCGTCGTCGTCGCCTTCGCTGTCGCCGTCGCCGTCGCCGTCGCCGTCGCCGTCGCCGTCGCCGTCGCCGTCGTCGTCGTCGTCGTCGTCGTCGTCGTCGTCGTCGTCGTGGTCGTTCCCTCTTGGGGTCGGGTTGCCGCCGTTCAGCGCGGCCGCTGGCCAGGCCGACGGTCCGCGGCCGCCCCGCCGCTTGCCGGAGCCATGCCTGCAGGGAAGAAAAATGTACCCCTCCAGAAGGGGTACGATCGAAGACGAAGAGGGCGGGTATCGAGGGTTTGGGAAATACACGTTGAATGTTCGGGCAGACGTTCGAGCAGATAAGAGCGAACAATCTAAAATTTATTGTTGTTATGCTGGTTCTTGTTTGTTACCCATGCCTGGATAATAATTATTGTTGATATCCGGAAGCGGTTCCGCGCGCTCTCGCCTTGACGCCAGCTACATTTTCTCTGACAAGCGAGGCTCCCGCTCGAGCGTTGGCTTGAGTGTCAATGTGGGTGCCCAGCTACGACGACAACGGTTCCCGCTCGATACTTCCTCACAACTTCCCCCGAGACACCCTGGCCAAAGAGGCACCCGAACTCAGGAACGGCGCTCTCGCTCGAGACTTCCACGCAATTCAATCAAGTTGGCGGAGGCTCAGCCACAACGACACGGGCTCCTGCTCGATACTTCCTTACGATTTACTCCGAGAACCCCTGGCCAGGAAGGCCCCCGAACTCAGGAACGGCGCTCTCGCTCGAGACTTACTCGCGCTTCAGTCAAACTGGTGGAGGCCCACCTGCGACGACAAGGGCTTTCGTTCGATACTTCCTCAAGATATATTCGCACAGGCCTTTGCCAGAGAGGCCCTTGAACTCAAGAATGGCGCTCTCGCTCGAGACTGTCTCGTAATTCAGGCCAGTTGGTGGATGACCAGACACGGCGAGAAGGGTTCCCGTCGATATTTCTCCATGTGTATTCCGAGAGCCCCTGGCCAGAGATGCCCCCGAACTCTTCAGCCAGTGGGCGGGTATCGAGGGTTGGTGGATACAGAATGCAAGACACGCGTGCCAGTAAGAGCGAACAATCTTGACATGAGTGTTGTTGTTGTGATTGTTGTTGAGGCGCGAGGCTCTGGCAGGACGGCCAGGGCGAGCGGAAGCCGAGGCTCGCTACGGCCACACTCCTCAGCCACTCGGTGAGGCGCAGCGTTCTCGAGGGAGACGAGCTGGGGACCAACAGCCACACGGGAGACCATGCGGGGGACCATGCCGGAGACCGTGCGGTGTGTCCGAGACCACGAGCCGCTCCGAGGCGGGGCGCCCTCGAACTCCTGGCACGGGGCGAGGCGGCGCCTCGCGCTGCCGATCGGGGGCCTGGGGCGCTGCCCGCCGAGCTGGGCGGGGGTGGGCGGAAGCGTGCGGCCCGCGCCGCGCTCTCCGCGGAGAGCCCGCGCGCCGCAGTGGAGGGCCGCCAACAGGGCCCGCTCGCAGGCAGCGTTCGGCGCCCCCTGCTCCAGCCAACGGCTCCTCGAGCGCGCCCCCTCTCCCCGATTCGGAAGGCGCGCCCAGGGCTCTCCAGAGCCCGTGGACAGAAGCCTCCCAACTGGGGTCCGAGCAGATTGGGTCGGGGGATCGCGCCGCATCGTCGATGCATCACCGATGCATCGGAGGCGTCGGCGTGGAGAGAATCGGGCTCCACATCGAGCGGCATCGCCGATGCATCCGCGATGCGCCGCAATCCTCCGACCCCATCGATTCCGACCCCATCATACCCCATCTGGGAGTCCTAGAGTGGGTCTTGGCTTAACTGGCAGACTGATGTGGCGCCATAGGCCAGCGGGTCCCATGAGCCCAAGATGCCGCCGCGCCAATCGTCCCAGGAGCCAGAGCAGCCAGTGCTACTAATGTTGCCAGCGCTACTGGCGCTATGGCCTACATTGGGGCGGCTGCTGGCGCTGCCACTGCTGCTACCACTGCTGCTGCCACTGCAGATTGGACCATGAGCGGCAACCCTTCCGCTGGCAGCTGGGGGGTCGGAGACGCTCTGCTGCGGTTCTGGCTTCAGCTGATGTTGGAGCAACTGTCGCTTCAGCGCCTGGAATGTTCTGGCCCTACATGGGGTTTGCGCGTGTCCCTCACTTGCTACAGTGCCATTGGCACCTAGTAGCCAGCTCTGCCGACCCTGCGCCGCCCACAGGTCGACGATTACGCTCGCGTAGCCTAGCGCGGTTGCTCCCGTGAGCCTTCGCCAGCCTCCTCCCGAGTAGCCATGACCACTTGGCCAGCGTCTTGTGCAGCCGCAGGTGGCAATCGCAATGACATTCCCGGGAGTATGCCGCAGCAAAATTGGCGGCACGTTCGCAGCGATGGCGCTTGCTGACTTGACGCAACTTGCGCCTGCATGGCTGGGGCGACTCCCCCTTGTGCCGCGCCTGCGCTGGCTACTAAGTTAATGTGCCGGCTGGCACTACGCCCGGCGCCAAGGGGGGGATGCTGGGCGGTCGGCGGCAAAGGGTGGCAGGAGGAACGGGAACGTGGAGCCACGCCTGTCCCCAGTAACCAAAACATGTATTCCTCGGAGTGCAAGTAAAAGCTGGCGGCCTCAGCGGAGGCTCCGCTTGTGGCAGCAGCTCCGACCAGACAGGCGGGATGCTACGAGCGAGGTGGCGACGGCGGCGGGGTCGCGTGGTGGTAGCGCAAGCGATTCGCAGGCGGCGCTGACGGCGGCGGGGTCGACCAGCCCGTCACTCGGTGCAGCGCATCTGGTCCGCGAGTCGAGCGCCGTCGGCAGCCGCGGTCGTGGCAGTATTGTACGCGTTATGGAGGGGGAAGGGCGCAAGCAGGGTGCCGCGGATAGAATTCTTAATAGACGCCGAAGACCAATGGGGCGCTGAACGCTGAAAGCAGAGAGTCCCTGCCGCCGTTCTTCTAGGTGGGTGGTGGGCTGAGGGCTCATTTGACGCGCGCACGAGCGTGCAGGCGGGCGCGCAAGCCCACGCGCCCGACTCCCATAGGGCGGCTGGGGGCAGCTGTTTTAGCGGCGCTGCGCGAGCATGCGTTGGAGATCATGCTCGCGCGGGGTGGCCGGCCCGCTGCTGGGACCCCCGCGGGGCCTCTGAGGATGCACATTGTCGGGCGCCCTGGGCCCTCTCAGCGTCGCGTCACAGAGTTGCTGGCCCAGCTGGGCGATGCGTCATTCGGCCTGCTGCCCGGTGGGGCCCGCGAAGCGCGCCGGCCCAGGCTGGCGGAGGAGCACCTCCCACCGCTGAGGCGCCTGGTGGACGGGTGGGCTGGGCGGTTGGGCGGCCGTCGCTCTGCGGCCGCTGCAACGGAACGCGCGGCGGGGCTCTCCTCAGCGCTGCGCGCGGCGCGGCCCGGGCGGGCGCACACGCGCGCCACCCCCTTCCCCCCTTTTATCCCCGCCCATGTTTCTCGTCCCCACCTGCCACAAGGAACGGTGTTGCTTGCCAGAGACACGTGGGACATCACCCTCCCACGACAAGAAGGAGCGTGACGGCAATGGCGAGAGGAGCAGCTCGACACTCCAGAGAATTCGCCCCAAACGGTGCCATCGCATCTGTGTCTGCCCGGCTTATGGGCGCTTGAAGGCGAAGCGCGATTTCGCCCTTTGCCCTCTGAGACCGCAAGGGGGGGTCCAGAACGCAGATGCAGCACAAATCTGTGTGTTGGTGCGAAGTCTACTATCGCAGAGCTTCTGGCGTGCTCATCGCAAAAACGTGAATCGGATAGCGCTGTTGAGGTCTGGCCACCAAGCAAGAGCCGACCACGAAACGGTCGAACAGAGAAAATCCGACGCTCGCCCCCGAAGCCCACTCATGCTGCCCACGCCCTAACACTATATCTAAATCGTATCATATCTGGCGTGCTGGCTGTGGTATGTCCGCGATGGTGGCTCGAGGCACGCAGTGGAGTGCCCTCCTCAAGTGCGGCCCCCCTGCGCCCAATTGCTAAGCTCTTTCGGAGGCTGGAGAGTACCAGGACGGGCAAAGAGGGCTCCAACAAGCCCCTAGAGCGGTCCAGGAGGATCCTGAGACGGCTCAAGGGCGCTCTGACTAAGACGGACGCAAGATGGCTGCAAGAGGACCCCCAAGAGGACCCCAAGAGGCAACATTCTTTGACTTCCAATTATTTTGCCAGATTTTAGCGTTCGCATGTCAGGGACTTCAACGACCCAAGACGAACCAAGAGGCTCCCAACCGCCGTAGGCGTCTTCGATATTTTGATGGGGGCTCGGCAACCACGGTCCTTGAGGCCGACAACCCACCCCTTCTTCATTCACGCAACCATCCAGTGAACAGACGGTCAGAACCCAACATCAGAATGGCGCCAGGGTGAGATGGACGAGCAGATTGCTTGGGGGTGGCTGTGACCACGGCTCCCAATATCGATCAGAGGGTCAAGGAGTCTCGCACGGGCAACTGGCAGGGCGTTCCGCAGCCTGTCGTAGACGTAGAGGCCCTCGACGGTGGCCCCTATCATGCCTTCCCCGACGGCCAGCAATCCGACCGCCCCCGCTCGGGAGGGCCAGCCTCAGAACGCGGACCGTCCCGACGTCCTAGGAGGTCAGATGTATCGCACGACGACGAGCCCCCCCCTACCCGCGCAAGGCCGCTGTGTTCAAACTTTGATGATGCCCGTTCCAATCCTGCACCTGCCGACGACACGGGTTTCTGGGCTCCCCCTCCTCTTCATTCCTCACCGCCGATATATGATCAGGGAATGTTGCTCAGCGCGTCGCGGCGGCAACACCAGCGAAACGATATATATATATATATATATATATATATTTATGTATATATGTATATATATACACAATGCAAACTGATATCGTGTCGCTCTGCTCCGCGGACCGAGAGCAATCATAACAACTCGGGACGCTCCCGCTCGGGGGCTGGGACGTGGTTAGCGCGTCGCGCCGAACAGGGCGGGCCAACGCGGCTAAGCTCACGCTCCTGACCTCAACTCTTCCACTGCTCACGGAAGGTGGCAGGAGGTGAGGCCGTCGGCCACCGCCTTTGCGGCGCTTCTCGACGCTGGATCCCGCATGCCCCCGCTCAGCTCCCTGCCTCTTTCAACCTCTTCGTGCCCTTTTCCTGCCTGCACTGGCCTGCCATGCCCGTTCCTCTCTGCTCTTCATCGCACAACAGAGAAGGAATAAAGACACCTGCGAAGCTTCAGGGGCTCCAGACTTTAGGGCAGAGGCCAACGGAAGAGCGAGCTCGGTCGCCTTTGAGCCGACCTTGTTTCAGCAAAGCGCCCGTTTCTTACAGGCCTCCTTCGACTGCAAACACCAATCTATCGCTCGGGCTGCCCTTGGTAGCGCCAGCGCTTCAGTTGCACTCCAGAGCCCCTGAACGATGACAAGCGTTGCTCCCCGCAGATTGTGGGGGTAGCCTGCAGCCCCCCCCCCACGGATATGTCGCCAGACCCTTGTGGATATGTCGGCTGCAGGCACGAACGCCCACCTCGCTGACGAGGCGGCCACGACTGCGGGGTCCACCTTCGAGGGTTCATACCACAGCTGGCGGCACGGCTCCCGACCCTTGTCACAAACGACTCTCCTAATTGCTCTACGAGCACTCTCAACACAAGGGCGACGTGAAAACGCTGTACTGAGATATTCAATCACTCGTAGTGGCAACGACGGGCCTAGCAGAGACATGCTCTGGGGATGGGGGAGCCGATAAAGAACAGTCAGGGTCGACCACAATCACTCCCTCTGGAACCTCTCTTCATTTGCACTCGACAGATCCAACGGCCGATCTGTCCTCAGCTTTTGGATATCCGAAGATGAATCAGAGCTCCACTGCTCTCCCAAATAAGGCTCTGTGGGGCACCTGCTGGCAAGCTGGTTTCTTATTTGATGCGCCTACGTACACAATCTCCTTCTCCCTCGTCTCTCCCCCCTTCTCCTCCTCTTCCTCCTCCTGCCCCCCAAGCGTGGGCCGCGTGGGCTGGTACGGCACCCACGCAGCACTTGGGAGAACCTGAGTCCTCTTAGAACTTGTCGTGCGGGGGCAGGCCGACACCATCCAGTAGCCCAGAGCCTACCCTGCCCCGCCATGGCTTGGTGCTGGGGTCGGCCCCACGGTGGGGGGTCCGGCTCGTGTGCGGAGGTTGAATCTGGCGCGCGGGGGGACGTCGTCAGCGTTCGGTAGCCCGTGGGCGGCCCCGCCACGCAAGGGCTCGGTGCTGGGATCGCGTGGTGGGGAGGCAGGCGCGTGGGCCGAGGCGCTGGCCTTCTGCCCCTGCACGCCTCCCTGTGCCCCGCGCCGAGGCGGGGGGAACGCCAGGGCGCCCGACCTGCAGAGAGAGTCCGGAGGCCTTTGGCGGCACGCAAGGTGCCGTCGTCTGAACCCAAGTGGCCAGTAGTCGTGGGGTCGGCTGCGCTGTTGCCGGTTCTGTGTGATGCAGAAGCCGATGGTGTCTGCCTGCCTCTCGGAGGGCGGGCTGTCAGCCCTGGTCAGAAGCTTTCGCCGAGGTGGCCCCCTCCTCTGAACCATTCGAGATGGCACGTCTATGATCCTTCTACAGAGTTAGGGGAATGAATAATGACATAAACATAAAAACTCGGAGGTCCGCGCGGACTTCTCGGATCGGCGCTGGACCCCCCTCCCTGGCGCGAAGAGCGCGCCAGGGGCGGCGCCGGAGGCGCCGCCAGCGGGGTCCAGCGCGGATCCGAGAAATCCGCGCGGACCTCCGAGTTTGCATGTTTATGTCATTGTTCGTTCCCCCAGGAGTGCTCCTCCTCCTCCTCCTCCTCCTCCTCCGTCCTACTCAGACCTCCCAGCTCGGAAGGATGGTGGGCGGCTCCTTTTCAACACGGGGCTCTCGCCCGGAGGGCAGGCCCGTGGGGCGCTCGCCTGTATCAAGGGGGCGCCGTCCGCAGCGAGGAGGGGCGACGCCAGAGACCTGGCAGGATCTCCCCGCTGGTCACCTGATACAGACGCAGCCAGAGCGTAGATGCATTCGGGGGAGGATGAATCGGGAATCTCTGGGATCCGGAGGCTCTGGAGGACGTCTCGGGCGCCGCGGCCTTCTCAGAGCGTTCCAGAATCCTCTGAGAGCGTTCCGGAACGCTCTGAGACGGATTTATACTCGTCTTAGCCCCGCCCGAGACACCCCTCCCTGGCGCGAGGAGCGCGCCAAGGACGGTGCCGGATGCACCGCCACGGGGGCCAATGGCAGATCCAAGCAATCCGCGCGGATCTTCGAAAGTTCATGTTCATGCTGTTTTTTCTTTGTTCGAGGCCTGGCCTCTTGGAAGCCTCTTGCGCTCTCTTGGGGTGATCTTGGAAGCCTCTCGGGCTGTCTTGTGACGTCGGGAGCCCGAACAGGCGAGAATGCTAAAATCCTTCAATGCCAACGGGAACTTACACATCTGCTGGGGGCGACTCCTTGGGTATATTGCAGCATCGTTGGTGCATCCTGGGAGGATGGAAAGGGATTAAGAGGAGGAGGAGGAGGAGGAGGAGGAGGAGGAGGAGGAGAGAACATAACAGAACGACTCGGGGGGCCGAGCTCGATGGTCAGCTCATCGCGACAAAAGTTAGACCCTGAGTGGCCTTTGCAGGCAGCTTCACTCGGCTTCCAGCCTCTGCAGGCACGGGGCGAGGCGGAGGAGGAGGAAGAAGGAAGAGCGAGGAGGAGGAGGAGGAAGGAGGATGAGGAAAGGAGACATGTGAGCAGAGTGTATCCCAGACCCCCGACGTCGTGATCTTTTCACAGCGCGGACACCCAGAGGTCTCGACCCATTCCCTGGGACCATCTTGTCGTCCTGGGTTTTTTGTTGGCGACCCCGTGGTCCGGTGAGGGCCTCAGGAGGCTGAACATTGTCAGAAGCCCTCCGTGGTTGTGAGGATGGTGCGCAGCTGGACCTGGGACATAATGACATCCGTCAAGCCTATGAGAACTTCAGCTGGCCAAAACACACAGAATATCCAAGGGTACCTTCCCCAGGATGCACAAGAGCATCCGACAAGCACGAAGGACATTAGGGTACCCTCCCCGAACCGACCTCGATCTTATACCTCGGTCCGACTGTGTTGGTCCCGAGGTCCGACGGCACAAACCGTTGCAGCATCGTAGCAAAATTCGACCACAGCTCTGGACCCCATCTTTCTGCAGCGTTTTTTTGACCCGCATCGACCCATGAGGGCACCAGGGCCCGAAACGCGGCAACACCGCCCGCCTTCACAAACTGCGACGCCCTGGCTCTCAAAAGGCAACACCGTTCCTCCTGGGCCTGCCCAGGCCCATCGGCGAGCCCCGAGAAGGGGCGGGTCTTCTCAGAAGGCTCGGAAGCCCCCTGGCCCTCCGAGAGATGTTCCGAGCACCCCCCCCCGGAGACGCGGCACTCGTGGAGTCCACAGCCCCCGTAGCGGAGCGCCAGGAAGGCCTTCCAACGCCTCTGGAAGGAGCTCTGAAAGCTCGTGGAGGGAGCCCCAGAAGGAGCTTCTGGAAAGCTGCTTGACGGCACACGTCTTGGGAAACGTGAGAAAAGGACTGTGGGGACACGCTGCTGGCTCTCAGGAACTTTTCCGAGGTGTCCTGCCGGACGCCGAAACGAGCTCCGGGGCTACCCTGCGGTGCCCCCGAAACAGGGAAAACATCTCAGAAGGCCAGAGGCCTTCTGAGAAGCCCCGCTGCCTTCTGACAAGGCCGTCTCCTTCTCACTTCCTCCCCTCGCTGCCCGCCGACTGGCCCACCCCGCCCCCTGCTGGGGGCGGCCCATCCGCGCGCCTTGGGTGGCGCGGCGGCAGGCTCCTCCTTCGGCCGCTCGCGCGACCTCGGCGGCGGGGGCGCGCCCGCGGGCGCGCGCAGCACGGGATCCTCCTCCTCCTCCTCGTCCTTCTCCTCCTGCCTCCCCTTCCTCCGTCCCTTCCTCCCCCTCCCCCTCCCTCCTCCTCGTCCTCCTCCTCCTCCTCCTCCTCCTCTTCCTCTGCATCAGCCTCTTTCTCCTCCTCCTCCTCCATCTTCCTTCTCCATCCTTCTCCTCCTCCTCCTCCTTCTCCATCCTCGTTCTCCATCCCTCATCCTCCTCCTCCTCCTCGTCCTCCTCCTCCTCCTCCTCCTACCGCTGCGTACGCTTGCATGCGCGGGCTGGCGCGGCCGCAAAGATGCACCAGCCAGCGCCGCACACTCATCGCAATCGCCGCCGCACGGGTTTTGTAAGCCAAGTCGCGGCTGGGTGGGTGGGATGTTTGCAGTAACATGGAATGTGTCAACTCGTTTGTTTTAATTCATTTCGCTACATGGATTACACAACATCGACGGCGCAATCTAGGTTCTCCTTTCCGGGAAAATCTTAGGGTCTTGATCCCCCGGTCCTGCGCGTCACCTTTTCGTGCCGCCATTAACATGCGATTCTGCCCCGTCGTCCAACCAAAATCTGAGCTCAAACCATCCTAACAACAAATACAATGCGCGCGCACTCGGCTATCAAAACTCACGAATGTCCAATCAACCCTTGCATAATAATCAACAACCAACATCACACGCGCGCGTCAGGCCAACGTCCGTCAAACACCCCAGGTGTCGCAAGGATTTGAACATCGAATGCCCCGAACACATGCAAGAACGTGGTCTCGCAGGCGGTACTTTTTAACAGGGAAGCATGCACTTGCACTCGTGCGAATTCTTGAAACAACCATGCGTTGCTTCAACGTTTTCGTCGCATGCTGCCAAACGCGCCTCTCGCGCGCATGTCACATTCGTTCGGGCGCCCTTGCGCGCGTGCTGTCACACGGGTCCCTTGCAACATACGGAACGGAATGCACGTGCGCGAGTCGTCGCGCGCGCATGCCATTTGGACACTCGCAGTTTTGTGAAAACTTCAACATCGAGTGTCCAGAAAGCATATAACAAACATGGTTTGACAACAACAGTTTTCACAAAGAAGAGGTATGCGCGCGCGCTCTTGCGATTCTTCAGAAAACCGTTCTTTGTTATATATATATATATATATATGACATGCTCATCGACTTCGGCCGAACGACGGGCCTCTCGCGCCGCATGCAGACATCATTCGAGTGCCCTTGCGCGCGTTCTGGGGGGGGGATGCACGATCCCTGTCAAATAATGCCATGCGGGCCACTCGCGCGCGTCGGCCGCGCGCGCATGTCGAACTCTTTCCAAAACCTGCATCACCGATGCGAGGGCATCGTCATCGTCATCGGCGTGATTGGCATCGGCCGTCACTGGCCTTGCCGTCGTCATCGTCGTCATCGTTCTTGCCATCGCTACTATCATCGTCGTGTCTACCGTTGTCGGCGTCACCATGGTACCGCGCCCGCCCGAGTCACCGACTCGCACTGAAGTGCCGGCTGGGAACTGCTCAGCGGTCAGCGCCACCGCGGCGGCGTCGGTCGCGCAAAACTAACTGGCCGCTGCGCTCGCGCGCGTGCTAGGATTGGCGCGGCCGCATACATTCACCAGCCAACATTTAGCACTCATCGCAATCACCGCCGCATGGGTTTTGCAAACCAAGTTGCGGGTGGGTGGGTGGGATTATTGCGCGAGCATCGGAGTTGTCAGCTCTCAATCTTTCCCCTCCCGAAAATTCATTGCACCACGTAGACTGTTCTACAGCTATTGCACACCATCTAATGATTCACGGCTATGTGAAGTGTATATGTATATGTATATGTATATGTATACGTATATGTATATGTATATGTATGTATGTATGTGTATATATATAAATCAATCTATATATCTATATCTATATCTATATAGACAAAAGGCCTGGCCCGGGGGGTTCCCCGTTCGAGCCGGCGCCGGAGACGCTCTTCCCCCAAGGAGCTGCGGTGACGCCTCTATTTCGCTGGCGCCTGGCGAGGCTCGTGACGCCTCTACTCGGCCTGAAGCCTCTATTCCGTTGGCGCCCGTTGAAGCTCGTGAAGCCTCTATTCGACCTGAAGCCTCTATTCGGCCTGAAGCTTGCATTCGGCTCGTGACGCCTCTATTCGGCCTACGAATTGCGACGCGCTGGCGGGGTGGCGCCCCTAGACGCGCCTATTCGGCCTGAAGCCCTTATTCCCCTGACGCCCAGTGAAGCTCGCGAAGCCTCTATTCGGCCTGGAGCCTCTATTCCCCTGACGCCCATTGAAGTTCGTGAAGCCTCTGTTCGGACTGAAGCCTCTACTCTCCTGACGCCCAGTGAAGCTCGTGAAGCCTCTATTCGGCCTGAAGCCTCTGTTCCCCTGACGCCCGTTGAAGCTCGTGAAGCCTCTATTCGGCCTGAAGCCCTTATTCCCCTGACGCCCAGTGAAGCTCGCGAAGCCTCTATTCGGCCTGAAGCCTCTATTCTCCTCACGACCATTGAAGCTCGTGAAACCTCTATTCGGCCTGAAGCCTCTTTTCCCCTGACGCCCACTGAAGCCCGTGAAGCCTCTATGCGGACTGAAGCTTCTATTCCCCTGATGCCCATTGAAGCTCGTGACGCCTCTATTCGGCCTGAAGCCTCTACTCCCCTGGCGTCCTGTGAAGCTCGTGAAGCCTCTATTCGGCCTGAAGCCTCTATTCCCCTGGCGCCCTGTGAAGCTCGTGACGCCTCTATTCAGCCTGAAGCCTCAATTCCGTTGACGCCCAGTGAAGCTCGTGAAGCCTCTATTCGGCCTGAAGCCTCTGTTCCCTTGGCGCCCAGTGAAGCCCGTGAAACCTCTGTTCGGCCTGAAGCCCCTAATCCCCTGACGCCCGGTGAAGCTCGTGAAGCCTCTATTCGGCCTGAAGCCTCTATTCCCCGGACGCCCGGTGATGGTCGTGACGCCTCGCAGGGTTCGTTCCCCAGGGGAGGACAAATCTATAAGCAAATATGTAAAACGTGAAAGAATCGTGCCCCTGGAAAGGGATCGTGCCCCAGGAGAGGGCCAATCACGCAAAGGATTCGTCTCCCATGATACGGCCACTCTATCAGCACGCAAGTGAAGGATGAAATATTCGCGCCCTAGGAGAGGGTCAATATATAGGCACATACGTACAGCACTAAGAGGATTCGTATTCCAAGAGAAGGCAGATCTATTGGCACATACGTGAAAACACCGAAGGATTCGTGCCCCAGGGGAAGGCCAATCAGGCACATACGTTAAGAACGAAGAATTGTGAAGCCACCCTGACCGCTCCGCACCGGCGACACGCTTCCGACGGATCCATCCTGCGGGCTCCTGGGGTATTCCGCCTCAAGAAAGTCCTAGGAGGCCTCGAGAAACACCCAGGAGGCCCCATGAGGCCCCCAAGAAAACCAAACGAGGCCCCAAGAGGCCCCAAAAAGGCCCCCCAGGAAGCTTCACAACAGCATCCAAAAGCCCGACGAGAAACCTGTTTCGCATCGGCCGCCCCCGCCGCCGCCGGCCGCCGCCGCCCGATGGGGCTGGGTTGCGGGTCCAAGGCCTCCTGGATGTTCGTTTGGGGGTCTCTTGGGAGGTTTCTCGTCGGGCTCTTGCAAGCTGCTTTGAAGCCTCCTGGGGGGCCGTTTTGGGGCCTCTTAGGATTCTTGTTTAATCAACTTGGGGAGTGGTCTTGCCTAGCAGAAGGTGCCGCACAGCAGGTGGGGCACGCCTGGCACCAATGATTCTTATTTAACCAACTTGGGGAGGGCTCTTGCCAATCAGAGGGTGCCGTACAGCACCAAGGATTCTTCTCTAATCAACTTGGGGCAGGGGTCTTGCCTAGCAGAAGGTGCCGCACAACAGATGGGGCACGCCTAGCACCAATGGTTCTTGTTTAATCAATTTGGGGAGGGCTTTTTCCTATCAGAGGGTGCCGCACAAAAGAGGGGCATGTCCAGCACCAAGGATTCACTTTTTAATCAACTTGGCGAGGGGTCTTGCCTAACAAAGGTGCCGCACAGCAAACGGGCATGTCTAGCACCAGGGATTCTTATTTAATTAACTTGGGGAGGGGTCTTGCCCAGCAGATAGTGCCGCACAGCAAAGGGGCTCACCTTGGAGAGGGTGCCGCACTGCAAAGGGGCACATCTAGCACCAAGTATTCCTTTTTAAATCAACTTGGGGAGGGGTCTTGCCTAGCAGAAGGTGCCGCACAACAGATGGGGCACGCCTAAAACCAAGGATGCTTTTTAAATCAACTTGGGGAGGGCGATTGCCTAATAAAGGGTGCCACACAGCAGATGGGGCACGTCTAGCACCAAGGATTCTTTTTTAATCAGCTTGGGGCAGGGCCTCGCCTAGCAGAAGGTGCCGTTCAACAGATGGGGCACGTCTAGCACCACGGATGTTTGTTTGAATCAACTTGGGGAGTGGTCTTGCCTAGCAGAAGGTGCCGAACAGCACGTGGGGCACGCCTAGCACCAAGGATTCTTCTTTAATCAACTTGGGGAGGGCCATTGCCCAACAAAGGGTGCCACACAGCAGACGGGACACGTCTAGCAGCAAGGATTCTTGTTCAATCAACCTAGGGACGGGTCTTGCCTAGCAGAGGGTGCCGCGCAGCAGATGGGGCATGTCTAGCACCAGGGATTCTTTTTAAAGCAACTTGGGGAGGGCCATTGCCTAGCATCAGGTGCCACACAACAAATGGGACGCCTCTAGCAACAAGGATTCATGTTTAATCAACCTGGGATTGGGTCTTGCCTAGCAGAGGGTGCCGCACAGCAGGTGGGGCACATCTAGTACCAAGGATTCGTTGTTTTAATCAATTTGGGGAGGGATCTTGCCTAGCAGAGGGCGCCGCGCAGCACATGGGGCACGTCTAACATCAAGGGTTTGTTTTATCAACTTGGGGAGGGGTCCTGCCTAGCACAGGGTGCCGCACAGCAGATGGGGCACG